GACATACTTCCAAAGTAAAAATCCAAAAAGCAGACAGCATTCCCCCGGCCCCGAGAGCGAGCATTTCCAGGGAGAATGACAGGCCCTTGGGAAAGCAGAGACCACCCGTCACGGCTGCAACACCAAAGTGACCACATCCCCCGGTCCTCGTGGGCTTGGTGATGCAAGCACAGACTCGGGGCTCAAAGTACTCCCCTGGCCATGTTTAGAGAATCATAAAAATGTCCAAACCTTCTTTTTTGTTTAAATTGACCAAGTGGCACGCATTTGCCCGGAGCCCTAACGCAGACAGTGCCGGCGGCACAGCAGATCGATGGGAGGAAATGGAGAGGCTGGGGCTGCAGTGCAAAGTTAGGCTGCCGAGTGCTGCCAGTATTGATTTTACCTAGTTCAGTTGGCCTTGTAATTAAAATGTCAATTTGAGAAAGAGATTATGTCCTGACAGAAATGGTGGGATTGAGGGGAAGATAAAAGCCCCTCAGCGCAAATTCAGAGAGAGAAAACGAGAAAGAAAAACAGCAGTGCTTCCCGCGGCCGTGTGGATTTAGACTAAGTCCAACCACTTCACGTTCGCCTGCATTAACAGAGAAAACCGCGGCGGAACATAAACCAGCGCCAGGAGCCGGCTCGCCCGCAGAGCACATCTGATCGCCACCCAGGTCCCATGCTCGTGGAGCCCCTCCCGGGCTGCCAGCTGTTTCCTGGCCTCTCACGTGCCATTTGCCCAGTGCCCGCAGAAATGAAGCTGGGGGGCAGGCAGCGCTTCCCACACTGTCATCTCTGAGCAGTGCCCCCTCCTTGGGCTCCCAGCAAGGTCCCAGGAGGGCTCCGGCTTCATCTCAGCCAGGTGGCAGGGCTCTCCTGGGGAAAAGGCTCCAGGAAGCTAAAAAGTCCACATTCTGGGGCTGCCTCCCGGGTGACGCCACCTGGCGGGTGCAGTCTGAGCCTGGCACATGGGACCCACGAGGCCTGGAGACCAGACCCAGCTCCGACTCTGGCCTCTGCCTGCAGGGTAAGGCCAGCCTCTCTCGGGTCCTCCAGCCCTCAGCACCAGCGGGCGCTGTGTGCACCCACCCACGTTCTCAACCATCCACCTGTTTTCAGCTTGACTGATGTTGTCAGTTGCCATCGAGCAGGCCCCCGACTCATGGCCACCCCACGTGCAACAGAACGAGAAGCTGCCCAGGCCTGCACCACCCATGTTCAGCAAACATGGGAACAGAACAGCACCTGGCCCAGACTGAAGGCCATGGCCACAGTGGCTGTTCCAACTTCCTTCCAGGTTAAATATGAATGTCTTGAGCCTTTCGAAGAAAGGGGTGAACTGGTGGCATAGAAAATCAACAGGATCTGTCTGCCCTGCTCTGCCCCCCGCAGAACTACAATGACATACCCCCACACACAAGCCAGCGCGGTGGTGGGCACTAGAAAGACAGAGCCTGCCCACACGCAGCCTTCATGAGGTGGTCAGTCGCGACACAGTCCAAAGAAGGCCACAGCTGGGAGCAGGTGTCACAGGAACACAGGGGTGGGTGCGCCAGGTACCTGCTGCTGCATAACAAGACACCCCCCAAAGTGCAGGGGTGGAGCCCACAGCCATCGGCTCATGTGGCAGAGTTTCTAGGCCAGGAAAGGTCCAGCAGGGAAGGCATGTCTCTGTGCCATCACACCTGGGAAGACTGGAACAGCCTGGAGGTGTCTGCATGCACATGTCTGGTGCTGGGGTGCTGGGGCTGGGATGAACCAAGAGCTGGGCTCAGCTGGGACTGCCAACCCAAGTACACTCCTCCCTGTGGCTTGGGCTTCCCCACAGCACGGCAGCCTCACGATCATCAGACTCCTCATATGGCAGCTCAGGGCCATGTCTGCACGAGTGTCCCAGCAAACAAGGCTGCTTACAGCCTGGCTCCTTCTGAGCTCCACTGGCTGGCAGTCAAAGCCTGCCCAGACCCAAGGGGGTGGGGTGGGCGTGGGGGGGCAGGGGTCCCGCTCTCACTAGGAGAACGTCAAGGAACTCTGTAGCCCTGTTCCACCACCATGGGGGGTGGGGGGCACAGCATGGCGCAGGGCGAGGTGCACAGGCTCTGGAGCCAGGCAGAGTCGAGTGCCGGCTCCATCACCCCCCTGCTGGTGGCTGTTTGTGCGTTTGCCTCTTCACGGGTAAAGTGGAGGTGACATGGAGGAAGCTTGCCACGAGTGGCAGCTGCCACATTGCTGTGCTTGCTACTAGCCACCAGTCCTGAGCTTCAAGGTCACCTCTGACGAAGGAGACATGCCCTTTGGGAGGCACCTTACTTGTCTGCCCTTTGTCTCTGGCCTTGCTCCACACCAGAGCCACGGACAGGGCCGTAAGTAAGCAGTAGATGCTATTTCTGCGATTGAGACGGAAAACGCCACACTGCGCTCTGTGTGGGACCCAGTCCTCGTCCAACGTTAGATCTGTATCATCTGCTAAGAGCTTTGACGCCGTCAGAGCGGTGACATCCTCAGGGGTCTTCACAAAAGTGCCCGAGACCGGGACATTTCAGCAGAACATGCCAGGGAATGGCAATGCTGACTCCCGGGTGCCCCTGAAGACACCCCGAGAAGGGGGACATTCAGGGCCTTGCAGGCACGCGTTCTGCCCTCTGGGTGGCCTCCGGCGTGGTCAGACTTCAACCAGGCACCTCCCCAGGGGCTGGGCTGAGAACTCATCCAACTGAGGGCAGCAGGGAGCCCGGTGAGGAGGGGGGCAAAGACCACCCTAGGTACAGAAAAGGGCAGTCACTGCACCTAACAAATTTCTTAAGCCCCTCTGGGTGCCTTGTGCTAAGGGCGGGGAAGCAGCAGTGGCCAGCCCAGGGGTGGCCGCTGGCCACAGGGAGCTCCCATTCTGGGTGGAGAGGCAGAGCGTAAACCAGGAGATGGGCAAAGGTACGATTTCCGGTGGGGGCAGTGTCAGGAAGAAGGCACACCAGGGGGCTCGGGGCATGGCCCAGGCGGTCAGAGAGAGACCTGGAGGAAGGGAAGGTGCCGAACAAGAGCACGGAGGCCCAGGCAAGGGGACAGCTGGACCGAGTCTCTGGGTAGGAAGGGTCTGGCATGGCTGATGGGGCAACAGCCAGCTCAGGGCTGGGGGCAGCCTCGCAGGGCTCTTATGCATGCGTGTCCCCCATCACCGGCTTGCCTGGGAAGCCCTGGAGGCAGAAAGCAGGCCTGAGTCTTCGCTGCAGCCCTTGCTTGAAATAGGGCCAGGATGCCGGCAGGCACCCAGCAAGGGGTCACCCAGAGGTCCCCTGCTTGGGGCCCCCTTCCCGGCTCCAGAACCCACGCTGAGCCCAGGTGCTCGGCCTGCCCAATCCCAGGATGGCCCTCCAGCATGGCGCTGGCCAGGCAGCCCCGCAGACCGCAGGTGCACTAGTAAACAGGGACTGTACAAATGGAAGGTCGTTAAAAGTCTGGTCGTGTTAATTTGGCATGACACCCCTAATGGGTTATACCTTCACACTTGAGTTGCCTAATCATCTAAATTCTTTTAACAAATTTACATTTCGTCTTACAGCCTCAGATTCAAATTGACTTGTCTAATTCACCACAAAAGCCATGGCCTTGTTTTTATTTGCTTCCTCTCGCTGTAAGCAACACCCCCATGCACCCCTCATTTGAGCAGACTTCCAGATTGTGACCTGGGTCCCACCATTTGCCCCTAGAGGGCCACTATCGTCAGATGCAGGACATAACTTTCAGAATTTTGTTTGGAGAAACAATCTTTCTCAATAGGAAAGGTCAGTCCCAAGCCAGGTTTGCGATTTGCGAGGAGGGACATGGGGCCCTGTATTCCGGAGTAAGCGGCAGTCCCCAGTTCAGATGGTGACTCTGTGACTCTATAAACATGAAGAGGCCCCCCATCTGTGACACCCCCATGACAGGGAATCAGAGAGAAGGGCTGTGGAGAGCATGGGGCGTTGCCTCTCCACCCAGCCACCAACTCCCTCCAGCTGGGAGGACCCCACCCTCCGGCCAGCCAAAACCACACTCCCCAGCGCCACCACACTTTCCGTCAGGAGACGCTGTCAGACACTAGCCCGCTGCCATCCTGCTCTGGGGGCGCCTTTTTCTCACAGTTCTAGACTTGCCTCCTCCAGGGCTGAGTGTGTGTCCCCACACAGGGCTGCCCATGGAGCGGGAGGTGCCTGGAGGCCACGCGCCCAAGCACAGGACACAGCCTCCTCTCGGTGCACCAGGCAGGCCTGTGTGGGCTGGGGCCCCTGTTCTGTGTAGACAACCAGCTCTACACAGAGAAATCCCTGCTGGGAGCCAGGAGAGGAGCCACCTGCCCAGCAGAAGCCCACGCCTGCAAAGGGGCTCACTCCCCACACAAGTGCCCACGGTACACAGGTGCATGAATGCACCCAGCCCAGGCTCAAACCAGGGAAGAAAGGAAAAATGACGCCACGTTATATGAAAGCAGAGCACTGATACGAGCCCTTGGCATAGCTGAGGCAGGACGCCCCTCCTGAGGCCCGCAATGACCACAGGACCACACGAGCGGGGGCCGAGGGCACACCCACACGGGCCAAGTCCCCACCCCTTGGGGGGCACAGGTAGGAGCTCAGTGCCTGGACCCCCAGGAGTGCCAGTCATGGCCACAAGGCAAAGAAAGCTCCCCCAGAGCTCCCCCCAGCCTCCCCATGGGGATGACCCACCCTTTCCTCTGCTGCTACCCTCACACCCCCCACTGTCTCCTCCAGGCCCATGTCTGTGCCTCTGCTGGGCTCCACTCTGCCCAGAATCTCCTCAGGCTGCGACCCCCATCCCCACCAAGACTCCCCTTCCCTAGAGCTGCACCCTTTAGTTGCACCACTCCCCACTACCAAGTTACCCTCTCCCTCAGGCTGTGCCCCCACCCCCTCCACTGAGACCCTCCCTCCCTTGGGCTGCGCTCCCACCCTTCTCACCCCCCCTCACCGAGACCATTCTCCCTCCCTCGGGCTGTGTCCGCCCCCACCCTTGGCGCTCACCGTATTCTGCCCGAAGGTGGTCGGGGATGTGGGGTTCGTACCCCTCCTTTTCTGGAACCTCCACAAACTCGTCCTCGTCCTCGCTCCCGTCCCCCAGGGCTGCAGTCTGTGGAAACATCCCCAAATTTACATGAACCCCGGCAGCCATCACCCAGGCAGCTCCCAAAAGGCCCACTGCTCCAGAATGTTTCTTTCCAGTTCAGGGTTTAAGCCTCATCCACCATGGGATTACATTTTAAAGTTGTCTCCAAGGCTATTCTTGTTCCTAAAATAACACCTCTCCACCAGTGCTCCGTACACCTGGGGGTCCCTTTGCAGTCCACCTGCAAAACCACACGTTTGAACACACTCAACTCCACAACCCCTCTGACACGTGCTGTCTTCTCAGGGGCATAAATGAGCGTTGTTTCAAGAGCTTCAAGGAACAGACACGCTTGTTTTTCAAAAGTGCCCAATAAAACAGCGGATTTTACCCCAATAAAAGGAAAAGCTTCCCTGTGACTTATGCAACAACAGTGACCTATCTCACCAGGTGGGCTGCGGGTAACCGTGAGATCTGCACCAATCTAAAGCAGCTGCCCTTTTCTGAGGACAGACAGGGTCAGGGACAGGGACAGGCCACTGCCCCCTGGGGACCCTTCCCAGGTATTGGGGGTGACAAGTACCTGACATGCAAACAAGAAGTGACAGGCATTTCTGGAGTATTCTATCCTTAAAAAATACTTAAAACACCCCCCCCCCACACACACACACAGGAAAGAGATTTTCCCTTTGAGGCCATCTTGGGTCAGGGTCAGTCTGGTGGGGACACGGGGCCTAAGTTACTGGGGGAAAGCAGCCCTGAGTCACTGACACCCTGCTCCCCTCTGCACTGAGAAGACCTGAAGATTTCACGTGTCCTTTTTTTTTAAATGTAAGAAAACCTGCCCCTCCCCATGCCCTAGCCCTTTTCCACATCCTCACCTCTCCCCCACCGCGCCCCCAGACCTTCCCCAAGCCCCCTCACCCACCCACCACCGCCTGGTCCTTGGTCCATGAGCAGGGCTGCCCACCCCAGTGGGCACAACGGCCCCCTTGGGACACCCCAGGCCGGGACTCAGCGGGGCTGCTGCACCTGGCTCTATCTCATCTGTAAAGCCCCCGCGAAGGCCGCCTGTCCCCTGAAGCAGGCCTCCTGGCACATGCTGGAGCCCAAGTCCCAGTGACCTATGGCCACCAGGCACTGCAGACAGGCCCCTAAAACCAGGTAAAACGGCCAGCGTCCTCGGGCGCGGTCCTGCTCAGACAGAAACACTCTCACCAGTCAGCTCTACTTCCTCCCCCACGGGCCCAGCGCCGCGGATTCTCCCAGCGACCCGACCCGATAGAAACCAGCACCCCTCCCCCACACACACACAGAGGACAGGGAGAGGCCGGTGGGGTGGGCGAAGCAGTGAGCCAGAGACCCCAAAGTACTCCCTCCCCATTGGACACCAACCACCTGTCCTTCCTGAGTGGACCCGGTAGAGAGGAGATCCCACCACCTGCTGCCCAAACTCTCGGGGAACTCCTGGGGTTCGGCGCTTTGCCCGCCACACACCAGGTGCCTGGCCCAGACTGGCCAGGGTGCTAGGTCTCACCCTCAGTCTCTGAGCCACCTGGGAGGCCAGCAGGCCACCTGGCTCACCTCAGACCAGGAGGGGCCTGGCAGGGGCTGGAGAAGCGTGCGGACAACTGGGGTCAACTTTCTTTACTGGGAGCCGGCAGCATCAGAACAGCCAAAGCTACTGCCCGCGGTCATTTTCGCAGCCACGTCCCGCCCACTGAAGGAAATATCCAGAAAAGGAGACCCGTCAGATTAAGACCGGCGACTGTGAAAGAAAACCCTTACCCAAGGACAACAGGGCCCTTTCAAGATTCTAAGAGCAAAACTGAAAAACTTAACCATGCTGACTATGCCTTCTTTTTTTCTTTTTGGTGAAAATACGCACAGCCAAAGATAGCCCATTTTGGCAGTTTCTATATGTATAATTCGGTGACATTGGCTACTTTCTCCAAGTTGTGCCACCATCCTCGCTATCCTTTTCCAGATCATCCCACCATAGTCCCACCATAGCATTACCTTAAACTCAATGCCCCCAAGCTCCCATCCAAGCTTTCAAGTTGCCCTTGTCAATCTGATCTCACATAGATAATTCTTTTTTTCCTCCTAAATTTTGTTGTTGTTATTGAGAATATACACAGCAAACCAGACACCAATTCAACAGTTTCTATGTGTACAATTTAGTGACACCGATGACATCCTTCAGCTGTACAACTGTTCTCATCCTCCTTTTCTGAGGGTTCCTATGAGTTGCAAGAGACTCAACAGCAACGGGTTTGGGTTTCTTGGTTTTCTGAGTTGTTCCTCCTTCATTAACATAAACTCGCTGCTCCCTCAGGTTCCTATCAAACCTTTCGAGTTGCTGTTATCAGTTTGGTCCCATATAGATAATTCTTAAAAGAGCACAATGTTCAAGGCAGAACTTTTTTACTAGTTAAGCTTAACTATTGCTCGGTTTTAAGATGACTTCAGGGGATATTTTTGGTTTAAGGTTTAAAGATTATCTCAGGGCGATAGTTTTAGGGGTTCACCCACCCTCCATGGATCCAGAAAGTCTAGAGTCCATGAGAATTTGAAATTCTGTTCTGCATTTTCCCCTCTTGATCAGGATTCTTCCACGGAATCTTTGATCAAAATGTTCAGTAATGGTAGCCGGGCACCATCCAGTTCCGATCTCATGGCAAAGGAGGCATTGTTCACGGAGGCAGTTAGCCGCACATCCATTTCCTCCTCCTTTTCCTGACTCTCCTTCTTCCTCTGTTGCTCCCGGTAAATAGGGATCAATTGTGCCTTAGATGGCTGCTTGCAAGCTTTTATGACCTCAGGCAAAGAACCAGGAGGTAGAACAGAAGCACTAAACATGTTATTAGGCCATTTAGCTGGGATGACCCATGAAACCATGACCCTAAACCTCCAAACCAAGGAACCAATTCTCATGAGCTGTTTGGATGTAGATTGTTATAAATATATCTATCACACAACTTCTGCCAATTCAACTTTTTACAGGTGTACAACTTACTGTGCCTTTATTCCTAAAGACGAGTCAAAGCCACATACAAACATGGCTGTTTCCTAAATGTAGGAAAGACTGGAAACCCCCAAGACCCGGAAGACCAGTTCATCAGGTCACCGGAGACCAAACCCACGTAAGTTCAAGGCGGACATCCACGGTGGCATTCGGTGTCAGTCTGTGAACTCGCAGGAAGCGGCTCACGGCCCTCAGTACCTGCCAGCCACTGCAGAGCCGCCCCGCGAATGCAGCTGCTGCGGGGGCCCAGGCATCAGAAGCCCATACCTGCTGCACCCGGAATGCCACAGCAAGGAGCCCCTGCCCCGAGAGGCATAATCAGATGCAAATGCACTCTGTTTGGGCACAACCCACGGCTGTGCATCTGGGAGCCACGGGAGACATTAATCACTGGGAACCGTAATTTTTGTTATCAGTCTAACACTGATCAAAAGGGAAGCCTGTCTCCACCGCTGACCTGTGAAACGTCCCAATTATACTCTTTGGAAATGACAGGGGCACTTAACTCCCGAGCTGAGCAAATGACGACGATCAATCACGTTTGAATAACAATGAGCCGCGGACCTGAAAATTATTTTTGTATAGAATCTACCCAGGAATTTATGAAAGGTGCAAAGCAGCCAAGGTTTTCGGGCATTATGGCTCGCGGCTTGTGCTGTGCGTATCAAACACTAAACAGAATTTATGTGTTTTAATTTTCTAAAAGGTAGATGTGGGCTGGGTGCTACAATGCATAACATATCACACCAGATTTTAAATATGGGGGTCATTTTCATAAAGTATGGTGCTTACTGCTCACACCCTTGAATCTCACCGGGGACTTTCATTCCATTTCCTTTTCCTGAAAAATATTTAACTGCTTAGCTAACTATTAAGAGTTATACCTTCTTGCTCCCCAGCTAAAATGGTTTATTCCTGTGACTGAATTCAGAGTGCTGGGCTCCTCTCTGTTCCTAAATTAGCACTGATAAGGCTGTCCTCCTGGGCTGAGCTGTCTCCGGGAGAAGGCAGATTCATTAGCTCCTTTGTAAACACCCAGCCGAAGAAGCAGCCGCGTCTCCTGGCCCGGCCCACATCTGCCTCTACAAGAGCAGCCTTTTTTAGGACTCAGCCACCCGGCAGGTCCTCCAGGCAAATCCTGTCCTCTAAAGACACCCGGACTCTCTCTTCAGCAAGAGCTGACCGGAGCCGACCCTTTCCATACTCAGTCTGAAACTCTTTGGAGGCCAGGGTGGCCCACTCAAACTACGTCGACTTACGATGGAGAGACTCTACTGATATCACTACATTTCAGCTTCAAAGCTTCCATTTTCCAGTTTTTGTCTGCCTGGGACAAAGTGAGCTATCACAGAGCCTACAGCGATAACTTCCACCATGGACACGGGACACCAGGCTCTCTGCCGTTGAGGAAGGACAGAGCCGGTTCTGATGCGGAGAGAGGCAGAGAAGTGCTCCAATTTAGTGGCACGGAGGCACAGCCAGCTGTCACTGATCCAGGGACCACACCTCACCAAGACATCCCCCAGACAGTGGCCCTGCCCAGAGGGACAGAACCATTTCCACCTTGAAAAAAACAAATAATCAAACGGTTCATGACGGTAGCAGTGGCTGTGCGAACCTTCCCCTCAAGGTCAAAGGCCACGTCACACAAGGCCAGCCCTGATGGACACGTGGCCACAGACGTGCCAGCGGCAGGCAGAACCCCTCCACTGGAGGTGACCCTCTCGAGGCCACCTAGAGAGGGCACTGTGATGGGTCACTCTCAGGCCTGTGGGCCCGTCCTGAAGCAGATGCCATTCTCTAGGGAGCCATCCAGGGTTGGGGACACGTTTTCAAGACGACATCCGACTTGTAAAATTTCCTCAAGAGTAGCTAGCTTTTAACCAACCGGAGAGGTGAGTTTTCTCATCACAATAAATAAACCCCAAACAAATCATGCCTGAGACACAAAACAAACCCCTCCCTGCTGTCAAGCCAGGCGGCCCCCTCTGAGACC